CTTATTGTGCGTTTACAGTAAAACGTTTGGTGCTGGTTTTGGATAATATCATGGGTACATCATACCTGCAAAATAGAACTTGAAGCCTTTGTTTTACTGTCTCCAGTTGTCTAGGATGGATTCTGTAAATAATATTCTTACAAAAGAGGCATGCATGTAAGGAGAGCCAATGATAAAACAATACAATGAACATTAGAATCCATTTATATACTACCTGCTTAATCACGGGTGCTGAAAAATGGTTCTGAACTTCTGATGTTGCTTTCTAAAATGTCTTGTATCTGTTTATGAACATTAAGAATGCTAAATTTACTTATCTTCTTATCTGGTAAAGGAAACATCTTCTACGCATTTGCTCTGTATCTGCAGGTCCTTGCAGATAAGTATGGGAATGTAGTACACTTTGGTGAGCGAGACTGTAGTATCCAGGTAAATTTTACTCTATTCTTCTTACGCATATATTCGTTTAATAGTGTTGCAATCCTAATCAGTTAAGTTACTCTGATGAACTTAACCATGGCGAACTCTCGCTTCTTGTTTCACTTCAAGTACTTTGATAAGGTATTATGGGCACTGTAAAAATAATGCAGCCCTGTTGTCAATTATCTTCAACAAATTCTATTGTCCAACTAATTCGGATTATTTCGTGTTCAGTTGTCTGTGATTAGTAAAAGACTTGGCTTATGTATACCTTGTCATCTTAAAAATTAGAATTTGAACTTGAAACGACACCACCTTTTCAGCTCCACTAATTTGGAACCACACCACCTTTTCAGCTCCACAAATTTCTCTTTAGGTAGTTATTCGCTGATCATAAAATATTGAGTACTTCAATCTATCCGAATAACTTATTGGCAAATATTGCTTAAAACTATTCAAAAGCTTCCAGTTGGGTGATGCTCTTTTGGCACCAGAAGATATTTGTGTGACACATTCGTTTGCATGTGTTTTCTCCTGCAGAGACGTAACCAGAAGCTTCTGGAAGAAGCTCCCTCTCCTGCACTGACCCCAGAGTTGAGGAAAGCCATGGGTGACGCAGCAGTTGCGGCTGCAGCATCCATAGGATACATTGGTGTAGGAACAGTTGAGTTCCTTCTGGACGAGAGGGGTTCCTTCTACTTCATGGAAATGAACACTCGTATCCAGGTCAGAATAGCTTATTAATAAGTTAAGCAGCTAAAATCTTCTGTATCTACTTCTATTCAGTGGAACTGGGGAGTGTAGTGTGACCAACAGAAGTTATTCTGGGAATAATGCAGGTCGAGCATCCTGTAACTGAAATGATTTCATCTGTGGACTTGATTGAGGAACAAATCAGGGTAGCTATGGGAGAGAAACTTCGTTACAAACAGGTATTAGAACCGACAGTCAGTTGTCTCAAGTCCCAACAAACTATTACTGGACTATATATAACCATATTGTGAATTTCTTGCTGCTTTTGTTCTACAGGAAGATATTGTTCTCAGAGGACATTCAATTGAGTGCCGGATTAATGCAGAGGATGCGTTTAAGGGATTCAGGCCAGGACCAGGTATCCTGCACTGTTTTTATGCTATCATGCTTCATTATTTAACTAATTATATCTAGATGGATTAATGCTATTTACAATTTCAACTTTTGAAACTTTCAATGGCAAGCATAGAGAACTGTGAATTTCTTCAAGTCATTATACTTTTTGGGTGTTTTCTACATTTTAGTTCGTTGTGTTAGCTGATATATTCTAGGTTGTTTCAGATCTCATCTTCTTTTAATCCAACTGGTGCAGTCTACTTCGTGATATCTTGAAGGTGTTAAGTTGGTGGATACTGTTTAAGTTCCATTTTTCTGTATTCCGTGTGTAATGCAGCATATACTTGTGGTTGTATTTGTGTTGGAACTGTGTTCTTCTTTCTTTTCTTCATTGCTTCGACTATCCCTTTAGAAAATTTAAAATAAAAAAAATGGAGAACATTTCTGAATACGACTCGCTCTTCTCTTGCTCAACAGGAAGAATAACAGCATATTTGCCATCTGGAGGGCCTTTTGTTAGAATGGACAGTCATGTGTATCCGGATTATGTTGTTCCTCCAAGCTATGATTCCCTGCTTGGAAAGGTACGCTTTTCTTCTTCATTTGGTTCTATTTTGCAGCTATTTATAGCAGGATCCACTGTTCTGCATGTGGTAAAATGGTCACTAGAACCCCATAGACGGGGTTGAACTTAGAGGAGTGAACCTTTTTAATATTTGTATGTCTGCAACTCCGATTGTTGTATGACTAGAATCTCTTGAATGTTTGCCTATCTGCTTCTAGTTCCTTTTCAATTTTTATTTTGGAACAGTAGTTTTGGTTTTCTGTATTGACAATTTCTTGGTTGTGGGGGTTGAAGTGTTGAACATTTTGAGTTTAATTTATCAAAAAGTGTATCATACACATATTTTTTAGTATGTGCTCCCAGAATTCTTGTTTCCATCTTAATGTTTAGCTTTAAGTTCTAAATTGGCACACTAAAAGCAATTGATTAAGCAATTCGCTCTGATAGACAGCCGGTGAAGGAAAAGGGAGTGCAAGTTCTAATATGAGACCTGCTTTCCTATTACCACCTCTCAAGTTATCATGATGCTGAGTTGGCATTGATATAAGAACCTCAGGTCCAATCCTCGTTGGATGCCTTTGTAGGAAAACCTTACCGTTCTATATCAATTAGCCACGTTTCTTTTATTCTGTGTTCCTATGATTCCAAAATGGATGTGTTTTATGACCACGACACCCGAGTAGAAGTACTAAAGTGCCACAGAACTGAGTTGCCATTTCATTTTCATGGCCTGTTTTCTCAGCATTAATGCTGTCGTGCACTCATGCTCATGTGGCTAACTGGATAGAATTTGCTTCAAGATGGTGCTAAAATGGGGGTTTTTTATTGCAGCTTATTGTTTGGGCTCCAACAAGAGAGAAGGCAATTGAACGTATGAAGAGGGCACTCAATGATACTATTATTACAGGTATTTAGCTCCCTGAAAACAGTATGTTCTGTACTTCTGTATTAGCTGTCCACTGTGCGAAGTAGGCTTGTTTATTTTGTATACAATCAGAATGGTCATTAAGTGCACAGAACCTTGAACTGTTTGCTTTTTATAGAGGGTAGACATTTCAAATAGCAGAAGATACTTGTATTTCCAGTTTAACTTGCTTGAGGTCGAAAAAATCTAGGTTTCCTGGCTGACACTCCTACCTAGAACTAGGCTTTGAACAGGGATAACTAATTCCTATTTGATTCCTGGATGCAGGAGTTCCAACAACAATCGATTATCATAAATTGATCCTTGAAATCGAGGTATGCTGTAATTTTCATTTTTCGTTCTGGTTGAAACTTGAAATGGCTGGATTGGATTGTTGGAAATGATAACTCATGAGCTCCCTTAACCATAATAGGACTTCAAAAACGGCAATGTCGATACCGCGTTCATTCCAAAGCATGAAGACGAGTTACGAGCGGTAAGTAACTTTTTCCAAGCCCCTAGTCTATGTTGATCATATTTAAGCTTCATGATCAGTACTCTTAGAAAGCATTATATGCTCCACTCTACTTTCTTTCCCCTCCTTGCAGCCACAGCAGATTGTGCCTGTCAAGGGTCTGGCCAGCGCAACTGCATAGATGCAATTCTTCAAGTGTGGAAAGGCAATGGTTTTGAGGGGATTGTTTAAGAAGCTTTACTTTATCCTGATCTCCGGATGCATTGTTCTTAAAGAAACTTTGAAAGGTTGAACATGGTTAGGCGTTTCTTCGGACTTTCCAGTTGAGGAAACCTTTTCTTACGTTGTTAAGCTATTCTGTTATATGATTAGGTGGTGAGATTCTAGTTTCTAGGTGGCTCTGAATTTTGGTTCCTGTTTGTTTATACGAGCTCTCTGGTCAAACTGGATGTACTTAGAAAGAAGTTGGTGGCTGCTGATATTCAGGGGCAAGTTTGAAGTTGGTGGTCAAAATCATGGTGGAGGTGGAATTCGGAGGGATTTCCTAATGTTCTTTTTATCCTTGTTGCAATAAATAACAATAAGACACATATAGTTTCCTGCAGGGGGAATGAATAACAGCGTGGATTCAGAAGAGATTGTGAATTCATATATCCTTTGAATGGTGAGATGAAAGTGCAGGTTGATACTAAATCATACGAAACAACACCAATAGAACTTAAGCCAAATAATGAACCTGAACAAAATGTGACAAAGCCTCTTTAACATCTTCGTGTTGAGAACTAATTAGTAATTACAATTTTGCTGGATCAAACCTTTCTTCGCAAGATCAAACCCTTATTCACCAGTGCATGTAGAGGTTGCATTAAGCTTTGAATAACTGGGATGCGATCAGAATTTTTGACCACATTCAGTCATTTTGCTGTTGTCAAGAAACAACGAGAACATGCTCGTCCACCGCATCAGGCGAGACTGAACGAGAAGCCAATGAAATAAAAACAACTTATATGAGGAAGATAGTTCAGAAACGTTTGCATTTTCGTTTGGAAGTAGGGATTTCAAGCAATGTATTTATTCAAACGACACCTAATGTCAAGATTAAGTCGTTTTCTTGGTTATTTTGGTTAAATTTGTGAGAGAGTACCTGTATTAGGTTTTTTTGGGCCCACCCGCAATCACTCGAAATGAGTAATTATCAATTCCTACCAAAAGGTGAGATTATTAACAAGAGATTGTCTACCCTCTACTTTTTCATTTATAACAAAGCACAAATGTGAACCTCCAAACAAGATATTTTTCAAATTCATACATTTAATCAATACATCAAATTACAAAACACAAATTGATTAAATCCTTCAACTTGGAGACTCACAACAACCTCCAAACATCCCCTAAATCATATTTATGTACAACCAAGGTTTGTGCCAGTGTGCCCGTTTAGCTAGTGGAATGGTTCAACCGATGACACATACCAGTTTGTGCCGGTTCATACAAGTCCATATTACAAATAAAATTATAAATACTCATATTTAAACATAACATTTAACGTCAATACTTAAACATTTATACCTGAATCCAACAAATAACATCAATATTTAATTTTTATACTCATAAAATAAATTATAAAATAAATTTTATCAATTAAATTCACTAAAATAAGATCATTTTACTTAGAGATTCGTATATCGATCATGTCTGTCATACCGGTGGTGTCATGGCGATTTAATTACCGATACCGGTTGAACCAGGTACAACCAATGGTACGCCGACTGAACCAGGTACAACCGGTGGTACGCCGGCCGGCGTGACAACCATGTGTACAACGCTTGTGGCATACTAAACAACAAGGATATCCAATCTCCATAGCCATCTTTAGTTCTATTTACAGGTGAACAAGATCATAATCAGACATGTTATACAGATAAACTGCACCATATACATCCCATGTGGAAGAAATCTAGAGCTGCCGGTCTTCGCTGTTAGATGCTGTAAAGCAATCCGGCAAACCTTGCTGACAAGTAAGTGGTAAGCGAGCGGTGATGCTGATGGAGAGACAAGAGTGAAGTCGGGGTTGACAAAACTGCTATACCCCGAAATAGGATGGGATTAGGTGCTAACCCTTATAACTAGCAAAAACGCTACTAAAAATAACGAAATCACTACAGATTATTATAAAATCAATACAACATCTAAGCTAAATCACTACTAACTCAAACTAGTAGTAGTTTTTCCCTTGGTTAGAACGATGCTAACTATTGTACAATTAGCATCATAGCCGTTCTCCCGAAATCACTGCTTCCCGTTCCAATGGCATGAGCTCGTGCATATTTTTCCAAAAGGAGACACATAAATACAGCACAACGACGTGTGTTCTAAAACCCAATCACCATATAAGGTAATTTCAAAAAACCTTTTTTGAAGCGAAAAAGAAAAGAAGGCTTATGTAAGGAAACGATCTAGAGAAACGAGTGTGGGGAAGATGATTGTTGATGATTTCAATGGCGATAAAGCGGTGAAACTCAACTGCCCATCTTCCCCTGAGCTTTGGGTTTTGCAAAGAAATCTTTCGGTTTCAGAGTGCACTCAGGGCACAGCGCCGATACACACAATCTTTGCGGCAGATGATAAGATACGATAAATAAAAAACGAAATCTTTTCCTAGAAAGAAAGAGGTAGGCAAACTGCGCCATAGAAAAACTACATTTATAAAAAAAAAATTGGAGCGGAGAAGACGAAGGAGGCGGAGGATGGCTACGAGAGAGAAGAAGCAGAGCAGAGGGTTAATTAAGTAGGGAGGGTGATGGAGAGAAGGAAGAGGCAAGCTAGCCGCTAGGGTTTCCGCAACTCTGAGTTACGAAAATTCCCTTATTAGGGTAAAAGGCTTCAGCCTTTATCTGCGCTGTGCCGGTCCAAGCCCATGGCCCGTGGGATTTAATTGATCCACAATTTCGATTTTATCTGTTCCGTTCCGCTTTCGTAATTTCGTCTCGTTTTGAATTCTGGGACGTGGCTAGGCCCCAGTATGTGCGATTATACCGAATACCGTATCGAATTTGTTTATATTTGGTATTACCAAATACACAGTATTATTTCTTGGGATTGGGATTGAGATTGAATTTCAATTGCTATTCGGTATTAGGGATTACGGAATTGGGATCGGTATATACCGAAATACCGATCAATACCGATATATAAGCTAGCGTGAATTTTATCCTATCAACTAGGCTCTCTGTTTGACTATTACACGACCCTCAACCACCAAGCGTGTCATTTAATTATACATAGATCATTTCATCACTATTCATAGTCGTCTCTCGACCTTCCATTCGTCAAATTAAATATTACCAATGATAAGAACTTGAGATGTCTCCTCTCCTCCGTTCTCCTTAATAATATCATAATTCAAGACTCTTTGCTTAGTATTTTCTCCCTAAATTAAACAATAAAATCTAATTTATATATTTAATTATTAATTGCAAAGGTATTTAATTTCGTATTCGATAATACCGATTGGGATACCGAAGTATCGATTGGGATACCGAAATATTTAGGGATTGGGATTGAGATACCGAAATTATTTAGGGATTGTGATTGATTTTAGGGTATAATTCGGTATTCGGTATTTCGATATTTGGTATTGGGATACTGATACCGTACTGATTTCCACCCCTAGATCCACATCAGCAATTAATTTTCAAAAAGAATTATCCATTAAATTTGACAGAAAATTTGACAGAGCTAGATGGAACAGATAAATTATTTTCAAAACACAAACAATTTACAAATTTCAAAAAGTTCACCCACAAATAGCGTTTTAATATAAAAATTAAACCAAACTAAAATATTAACCGTCTCGCTTCGATAGACAGGTTGGTTGCTCGCCAACTTGCCTACCAAAAAGAAAAAGAAAAACAAGTAATTGTGGCGATAGAAATATAAAACAGTGTTTTTCATTGGGGTTGCTAAATCTCGCCCTAATTGCCCTAATCTAAAGGTTTAAAATGACCTCTTTATCCTTTATCCCTTTTTATTGTGAAATTGGGCCTTAATCGCCTAATCGCCCAATCTAATTCTTTTCTTTTCCGGTTGCCTCACTTTGATTCGTTTTCCAATTCCAACGACAATGGGGTGACGGCGGGCGGCCAGGAGCTGGAGACTATGATTGTTGGCCGGAGCAGGAGAGGGCGAAGCGAAGAGGAAAGGTGACGTCAGATCTGGGTCAAATTTGGGTGCTCAGATTCGTTCAGTGCACTGCGTCCTCGCCGACTAGACGAGGAGATCGAGTGGCGTCGATGGCGGAGACGGTCGTGGAGGCTGATTGATGGAGACGGCGGGAGCGATGAATTGGGAGTCGCGGTTGCAGATGGCGACAACAGATTTGATGAACAAGGGAGCTGATTCAGATTCTGGCAAAGTCGGAGACTTTGTTCTTCTTCGCTGGAACCGGTGCATGGAGAGGACAACAACGATGAGTCCTCATCCGACAATGAACAGAGAAGATAGAGGCGGCGGCGATGGTAAAGGCTAATTAGAAATTTTAGGAGATTTCTTGTTTTGTTGAATTTGAATTGATTAAAGAGGGACAAGTTAGTCGTATTATATTTTAAATGAGGGCGATAGTAGTAAAACTAGGACGACGTTTAGCTGCACGGTTTTCATTTCCTTGCACATGTAAAAACTTCTGCTTGCTATACCAATATGCCATTGTGTGGTTGGTTGGTAATTCATATCATACAGTAAAATTGGGCACATATTAGTAACAAAACTTCGATTCCCTCCCTCCTTGCCGTTAAAATCAGTTAAACCAATTTCTCGGCGTGACGAACACTGTCTGCCTTCCTTCACCCACACTCTCAAAGTTCTATATCCAGTGCTATACCATACATCACACTCATGGCACAGTTATTTTTCCAGGGCCGTGGATCGGTTTTAACTTTCCTCCTGTTATTTACTTGGTATATATTGGGCAGAACCAAGATACCGTATAGGGGGAGGAAATGGTGCTTTCATGCTGCAGCAACCTCAGCAAGATAGACCTGAGGTGAAGAGCAGGGAGACAAGGAGCATTCGTGTGGACGTTTTCTGATCTCGCCATAACCGTAACTCTTCTCTCGGTAATCTTCGTTCCTGATATGCTTCTCGCGGCACTCCGGGCTGCAAAATGCCTTCTCTCCCCTGCAAAGGCAACAACAAGAAGTTGAACAGACTTCAGAGATGTTGCTTGGATGGAATGTCTACAAAAAAAAAATCTATGGCGGTTCAGAAACTCAATGGTCCCCTCCCCAGCTGAACTATTGACTTCCCAGAAGAAGAAATCTAGTCCACATACTGAAAGCAAACAAGAATTATTGCTTCACTTCATCACCATCACATACCTAACTTCCAACGAAAGAGAAAGATGCCATCTTTTCGGGAAGGAAGAATAGTATATATAAAAATTATAATAATACAGCCAAGTGATATTCTCAACTGCTCCCTTCCATCCAAATATCTGGTTTGTTCCATCACCAGAATAAGAGAATTGGCACGATAAGCAAATAATTGAGCATGGCACAAGGCAAAAAGTAGATCTATGATCATTCGATGGGAGCAAAATGAACTCATTTTCAGATCTACAGGGTGGATGAACCAAAACTACCAGCAATCTCCGGATGGAGCTCTCCTATGTTCGTCCGGAGGTTTCATGATCTAATCAAGAAAACAATGTACCCTACCCAATGTTTAACCACTGTTTGAAAGGGGGAAGAAATGAAAATCAGATGGAAAAAATGAAAACAACGAACTATCTGAAAGCTACACTGCACATGTCTCACATTCCTGATTTCCCTTCTGGTTCATTTATATAGTGATTGTTCAAAACCCAATTGTCGAGTTTTTACTCAACTACCCAATGCGATTGCATCCAGCTTGTTTCTTGTCATCTTATGATGCAATTATGGCATGTGCCCAATCAGCTGTACTGCACTACTGTTATGTTAAAATATCTGAAATGACGAAGAGCACAACATACATTTCCAGAGAGACAGGCACTAGTAGGCCGGTAATGCAGGCAGAGAGTTGGCTATTCATATTAACTATCCAGGGAAAGAGGCCTAAATAATACTAAACTATTACCGGGAAACACTAGTTGGATAGTTTAAGAACCAATGAACATGAATTTCTCAATTCCTTACACATTATGGAAGTCTAATCTTATAGTAAAACCCATTTGGTCTTGTTAACAGATAGAATGCAAGCAGCCTAAAGGTAGATATCCAAACAAAAGCAAAGCATATAACACCAAGGGGAAGTTCTGGTCAAGGCAATAAGCTAGTAACTGAAGAAATTTAAGCTTACTGATATAACTTTGCGATCTAAATCCTTTCACACCCGTGCATTCGACAAAAGTTTGCCGCTTTTCAGTTGGGAATTGAATTCAAACAAGTATGCAGGTAGCATGAACACAATCTTTCAAGATCCAAACCAGAGATGAACATCTAACCATGACCTAACTATGAACAGCCGAATCATACAACTGTAACATCCTACTACGCTCGGACATAAGCCGAATCAGGGAGCAAAACCCAGGAAAAAATGTTTCTTGATCACACAGGATTTCCTAGTTCCTAATACCTCCCTTCAAGAGAAGAGGGTAAAGTGCTGCATGAATTGACTATGATTTTCACTAGCAATATCCATTTTCGTTTCCCTGGGTTCTAGTAAATCAGACAATGGAACCCACATCATCCACCCCAATTCACGAAAAAAGCCAATCCAATCTCAATTCAGAAACAAGTGAAGCAAAATTCTACCTGTACATGAAAATGTCCAGCCCCTGGAGCAGCTTGTTGCAGAGGTTGCAAGAAGCCAAGAAATCTTGGTTACAGAAGCCGTTCCTCCACCCTTCAGCGCCACCAAAACCGGCGGTCATCATCAGAGGGGAAGAAGACGCATAAAACATTCCACCATTAGCAGGATTCACGTCGAAGACTGTTGTCACAGTGTCGTCGCGGAGCCCAGAAACCTTGTCGCCGTAGTAAACAATCTTCTTGATCACCTCATTACCAACATCAGAAACCACACAAGTATAGGCCTCATCGCTCTCATCCACCACAGAGGCGGAGGAGCGGCCGTCGCCATCGCTGCCCTCCTTTTCAATCCGATACCGCGACAACCCAACACCCCAATTGAAATTGGCGGCCGCCGGCCTCGCCAGAGACACAATTGGGATGGGACTGGATCTCAGCGGAGCCGGGTGGGAGAATTTGGTCCAATCCCGAGAACGACGACCGCTCGAATCGGTCATCGCCGCCACAATTCCCAACCCGACTCCACCGTCGATGAAGCTTCTGGGCGACTTTTTCTCCATACCCAGAACAGAAATTGACGGAGCAGAGGTCTCCAGGATTCAGCTGTAAAAAAAAGGCGAAGCTGAATCGGAGAGGAGAAACTGGGGGAGTTGGGGGTTAGGGAAGAATAGAAGAAGGAAAATTGAAGGTGGGTTTTAGAGTAGATTCAAGTTGAGACGCCATAGAAAGGAATATACAGAGATTAGAGGGAAGGGGAAGTGGGGGAGAAACGGTGGGCAGAAATGGCGGATTGGCGGGAGGTGAAGTGAAAGTGAAGGAAGAATGAAAATCAAAGAAAAGTGATTCCCGACGGAAGGAGGAGGGAAGGGGCTAATGGCTGGAGGAGAGAGAAGAGGAGTGTCTCTCCTTTTTTATCCTTTTGCTTTCTCAGAGTTCTGCTTCTTCTTCTTCGTCTTCTCTCCTTCCTTCCCCACCAGAGTCCATGTCGCTGTGGGGTTTCAGGGAGACATGAAAAGGTAGGACTGAAAAGCGGATATTATTAGAATATTACAGAGTTTGTGCAGCTACCTTTTTTGTGCTTTCCTGGTAATAATCGCTACAGAAAATAATTGTATTTTATTTAAACAGTGATGTATACTTGTATAGATATGGTTTGAGAGAAGGAATTGAATAATAAAATTGTTTCTAAATTCCGTCGATAAATTATATATATTTTGAATGAAGAAATTTTGTTTAGAATTTAGGGGTCACATTGTAATATACATGCAATTAAGGAAAATGATGTAAAATTACTTTACATTGTTTGATTTTGGTAAAGGAAAGATCACTTGAGAAAGATCATTTTTGCCCTTCCTTTTATGATAACATATATAACATATAATTAGGAGTATACTTGGAACAAAAAATGAACCAAACAATCTGCTCAAAACTATCTCAATAATCTCAAATTTTAGTAGAGATAATAATATCACTCATTTTAAGTGATAGTTTTCATCACATCAAGCAAACAATGCATATATTGTTTGTGAAGAAAATTCAAAAAAACAATGTATTGTAGACAATACATGCATTGTACTATTCCAACCAAACAATCACCAAAACTACCCTTTAAGTTTGAGTTGGAGAATATGTTATTGAAAAGTAATTGCTAAAAGTCAAATAGTTTGATTGGTGAATTTTTGTTGGGCTCTACCTGTGAAATTCTGAGTTGGACTTTCATTGAGCCGAACTACTCGCGAGCAACTCGAGATTTGAATCGGGAAAAATTCGTTCGAAACTCGACTCGTTTACTAACAAGTCAAATTTGAGCTTAGCTTTGTTCAGCTCGCGAGCTAGCTCGACTCAGTGGCTTGTTGAGCTCAACTTGTGAGTTGGCGCATTAAGAGCTCATGAGATGTCTCAACATTGTGGTTTGAGGGCCAACTTGATCATCGACTTATGGACGAATCGATCTAATTTGGATTTTCATAATTCATAGGATTGTTAAATTATATATCTCACATCATGTGAAGTTTAACATGTTCCTTATTTTTAATTCTATAAAGAAATTATGTACAAAATTGTTTCGATCCTATGAAATAACATGATTTGAACTAGTTAAAATTATTAACTAAACAATATGACACCTACAAATTATAATATAAGATTAATTAATGTTGAACATTTGATTATTTTTTTTATCGTTACATCAATCACATGTACCATACACGACATACAAAATGAATGTATCAAATACGATCTAAGAATTTAGTAAACAAGCCTAGCTCGAACTCGACTCGACTCGTTAATAAATGGCTCGAGCTCAGCTCATTTGTTAACGAGTCAAGCTCAAGCTGGGATAAAACTCAGCTGAGCTCGACTTATTTGGAGCTCTAGTGGAGGGCCCGAAGGGCTCATGCAACTGAACCCCAATATATATATATATATATATATATATATATATATATTTTTTTTTCCGATATGAGTTATGAAATGTAATTATGTGATGGCTAAAATCTATATGATGGGTGAAGAGATGTATAAATGCAAAGAAGTGTTAGGAATAGTTGAGAGTAGAGATTCTCGTGAAATTGCTCTGAGTGTTGTGAGTTGTGTGAATAATTCTCTTTACCTTAGTGCTTTTGAAGAAGATAATGAAGTTGATCCGTGCTCTAGTTATGTAAAGGGTTTTGCGTTTCACCTAAAGGAACTCAACATGGAATTAGTAGCATTGAAATAATAAAATCCTAGTAAATTAGGTCTCAAAGCTAGAACCTATGAGTCGAGACATAAGCGATAGGATGAACTCGGTTAACAAAAATCACGTGTCATTATTTACTTGTGTAGAATATACTTTCTCTGGTTTACCTTTTCGGATTGCAAGTACCCTGGTCTTCAAACGAGTGTGAATGTTTTCTCTAGGCCCCTCGGATGATTGGGTCGTGGCTTGTAGCTGGGCACAAAACAATCTCATTGAAGAAGACGAGTTCTAAATACACGGTTTCAGATAGGAGTTAAAAGATGAAACTGCGTAGTTGAGAACATAGTTAGTAAATATTTCGTTTAATATACGTATGTGTACCCGTACGTACTTTATCCGTTTAAAATTTATGTATCCGTATTATTGTCAAACCGTTTCATTTTCCCGTTAATTTGATGGCTCCCGTACTAAACACGTATAAAACCCGTATAACACGTTTAATATCCATATTTAATGAATCAAATTGTTAACTTTACGATCATTTATATATTTAAAATAATTAATTTAATATACTATTAACATACTATTAAACGTACTATTAATTTAGAGATAAAATAAAATACACACGTACTTAACTTTTCCGTATTGTATTTTACTAACTATGGTCCGCAAAAGAGCTTAAGTTAAAGACTTAAAGTTCACCGCCGGACGAATCTCAGACACCCAAATTGACCGCAGCACGACGTCGCTTCATCCAGCAGCAGCACTCATCGTCTTCTCCGTCAGCCTTGAGAAAGAAAATGACATAACAGCTTTTAGCTTTCACCGCCGGGGAAACCGCGGAGCGGCGACTCGAACCCCCAATTTGACCGCTCGGCCTCCGATCCAGCTGTCTCAAATTCTCCCGTTCAAGAAAAAAATGGAATCCCTATCTGCTTCGAAATGGACAAATTCCCTCCTTTATTTGTCCTTGATACTCTCCACCCTCTTCCTCTTTCACTCCCAAATCGCCACCAGGTTGCTCGTCGGCCACCACCCGCTGCGCCTGAAGCGCTCCCCGGATCTCCCTCTCCGGTTTCGCGACGACGGCACCTTCAAGATCCTCCAGGTCGCCGATATGCATTTCGGGACCGGGATGGTGACCCGGTGCAGAGATGTGCTGCCTTCCGAGTTCGACTACTGCTCCGACCTCAACACCACTCGCTTTCTCCGGCGGATCATCGAGCTCGAGAAGCCTGACTTCATCGCTTTTACAGGTTCCCCCTTTCTAGTTTCCACTTACTTCGCTTCATCCTAAAATTCTAGAGTTAGCTAGTTCGATAAGATGAAGGGGACGGTTTCTAATGTTCATGAGAATTGGAAAGCAATATACTTTTGAACATGTTATCAGAACTGAACCTTCTCTACTGGATTTTGCAATTTGCCCATTTGTTAAAGCTTAGCAATTTCCAGTTTTTCCGTTTATTGCATTCATTTGGAGTGTGATAAGAGATTGACGCTCTCAGAAACTCTGTCCCTGTTAGTAACTTGAATGCAGTTCCTATGAGCAGGAGATAATATCTTTGGAAGTAGTACAACTGATGCTGCTGAATCCTTGCTTCGTGCATTTGGTCCAGCCATGGACTCTGAAATTCCATGGGCAGCAGTGTTGGGTAACCACGACCAGGAATCTACAATGACACGGGAAGAGTTGATGTCTTTTATATCGCTTATGGATTACTCAGTGTCACAAGTCAATCCGCCGGCTGAAGTAGCTGCTAATTACGTGGAGTTGCCGAAAAGGAGACGAATTGATGGCTTTGGGAACTACGATCTCCAAGTATATGGTCCTCCTGGTTCTAGGTTGGCAAATGACAGTGTAATGAATCTCTACTTCCTTGACAGTGGAGATAGAGAAGTAGTCCAAGGGAGACGTACTTACGGGTGGATTAAAGAATCTCAACTTCAATGGCTTCGTGATGTTTCGAAGCGAAATAAGGTATATATATATAACAGTGTGTGGAGCTTTCCCTCCCTGTGCTAGCCTTGTTCTTCCATTCCCAAAATGGGATGTTTAGATTTAGACTCAATTAACATGTTGCAGGTCACAACCTAACAGGACCAGATTGAGAATCTCAATCACATGACAGAGGGTTTAAGGATGGCTGCAAATCCTGCACTGGCTTTCTTCCACATCCCAATTCCTGAGATTCCGCAGCTATATTATCAAAAGATTGTTGGCCAGTTTCAGGAAGGTGTTGCTTGTTCATTGGTTAACTCAGGGGTCTTGAAGACTTTTGTATCAATGGGGGATGTGAAGGCTGTTTTTATGGGGCATGACCACACCAATGATTTCTGTGGGACTTTAAATGGTATCTGGTTTTGTTATGGTGGAGGATCTGGATACCATGGTTATGGAAAACCCGGGTGGCCACGCAGAGTCAGAGTTATATCGGCTGAACTGGGAAAAGGTGAAAAATCATGGAGAGGAGTTGAAAGAATCAGAACCTGGAAGCGTCTCGATGACAAAAAATTATTAACTAAGATTGATGAACAAGTCTTGTGGGAGTTGTGGCAGCCAAGATAATCTTATACCTTGTATTGTCGTACGTAAAAAGATTTGATGTCCCTCTTGCTGTTGTAGGATTATTACAAGGCCTAATTTTAGTGGATGGTGCCGGCTCACTGGGTTCCTGCAGCTGACATGTTTGGAGGTTATTTTCAGAAACAATCTTAGTTTGCTTCTCTTATTTGCTTGGATGTGAAGTAATACACTGAAGAAGCCTACCTACAGTCAATATACAGGTTTGGGTTTTCCCCTTGTATAGAATTTGTTGCCATTTTTTACCTAATGGTTTGATTATCATCTTAACTGAACTGCTAAACGAGCTCGCAAACATGGGAACAGTTGTGCAACTTATTAGTATTTGTTTGTGCTCTTGCTATCTCATCTACTTCTCATGTCATCCACTACTTTCAGCATTTGGGTCATGTTTGACTTGAAAGCAGTATTTGTTTTTACCTCTTGTACTAACTAGACTTGGAATAACTTTGAACTCAAGACAATGGCTCTTGTATGATGTTTTCAGGATCTATAGATCGCGAACTGTTTCGTAATACATTTTTGTGTCACTAATTGGAGACAGAGAATAAAAAATAAAACAGGAATAAAACTGACACAATATGATACAAGCTTTTGTATTTGAGAAGTAATAGGGACTGTCCTACGCAATCTAAACCTTTAAGATCGGCCTGCATCTCTTCAAATCCTGTAATGGCATCTATCTCTGCCTTAACCCTCTTCTCCACTTCAGCTTCTACAAACCTCTGAGCTGCTTCATTTGCTTCTATTGTGATTCTTTCTTTCTCCTTCTCCACAATCAGCCCTACCTTCTGTTCTAACACCTGCGCTTCCTCTATCCTCTGCTCCTCCCTCACCTTCCATTTCTCAACTTCCATAGCCTGTATTTAAGAGGAGCAAATGCCAGAACATAAGAACCTAAAAACCCAGTAACTTTCCATAATTTGTTTACAGAAAAGTTAATGGGGTACACACTTTCCGCTTTGCTGCAAGTGCTTCTTTGCAAGCTGCGTGGTACATATCCATCGTCTGCTTCAGCTCTGTCTCCAGTCTTTTCATTTGGCGCTCGTAATCTTCCTGCAACACCATGTCATATACTCTTATGTATCTACAATGCATTAACTATAGTAATTAGGTGAGTAAAAAAGTGCATGTTTGCTTCTCTCTATCATGACATTGTGCCTAACCGAGTCCCAAGAGCCCCGTTCGTCAGCCGAGGTGGAGTTAGACCCATTAGACAACCGAAAGCCGGATGTCATGGAGGGTTCAAAGTCTTCTCTGCAGTCGACGTAGGATGAAGTCCTAGAAGCTTCCCAGGGCACGTCAGCCCTGCCAGCCCTTGACGTCCTGGAAGAATCCTGGACGGTATCGTAGAACGTGAGGGAGTTGCTCTGATCAATGCTTAACCGAGCGTCTGATATTCCAGCAAGGAGGCGGTCGTAGTCCAGGTTGTCGTATGATCTTCCGTTCACTCGCTTTATTGACCTATACATTTTTGGTTCTACGTTTATGTAAACACCACAAACCACCGAGATCCTGGCAGCACAAGTAACATACAAGATGAAACTTACGGGGTTTCAGAAGGGGTTAAACTGGGATATATTGCAGTACTAGGAGAAGAAGAAAGCGGAGGAAGATGTGGCGATGGAATGGAGCGAGAAGAATTCCGGACAGAGCTGATCTTTCCTTTGGCTATAACGTAGACGGTGCAGTAATCGGGTGCCCATTTCATTACCGTGCTTGGTATATCTGTACTCCTAAACAGTCTGCAGATCAAAATGATCATGAGAGCTAGCTAATCTGCAGAAGCAGTCGACGAAACTTCGTTCTTGTTCTATCAATTTATTACCTGGAAATACCGCTTTTGCTTGGCGTGCCTAGCATCAGAATCTTGACACCAAAATGGCCAATGTACTCTACTATTGCTTTGGCTACATCGTTATCCTCCAATACTACAGTCTCGCAATTAACCTGCAGTTTTTTGGATAAGATGCATGTAAAGAAACAACATGCATGAAAGCATTCGATGTCACCCTTGAGAATGAATTACCGAAAGGGTAAGAGTCTATGATGCTAGAAAATTACTGGGTTAGGAAAATGACTTACTTCTTTGCGCTGGCAGTAACATCTGAGGGGAAGCATCATCTCAGAGATTTGAGCATCTGGGCTCTGCTCTTGATCTGCATACGTTCATATATAACAAACATGAACAGAATGCTAGTTAAGTTCCCACAAACATGAAATTCTTATACAGCAGCCTGCACGAAACAGAGAACAAATCGACGACAGAACGTCGTGTACCTGAGAGGTATCGATCTTTGACATGGAGAAGGCGGAGGGTCTCGTGCCTGGTGACAATATGAGTGATGGCCCATTTCAATGCATAGATGCTGCTCTTATTCCCGTCAACAGCCACGGCCACCACCTTCTCCCTCCCATCTGTTTCCAAGCTTCTGCTCTCCATTGATGATTATTAGTATTTCTCAGATCGATCGATCCCAACTTACACATCCGAAATCAACGTACTTTCATCACCCCATTTGGATTGATGGAGAGATTGGTATAACGTATGATGATGTGTTCGTGTTGTGGAAAATGAAGAATGTGGTTTTTGGGATTGGAGGAATTGGCAATGGCGGGTTGATCCAATCGGAAAGCAAAATGTAATAGAGAGATGAACCCCATGATTGTATTTTTGAAATGGTTCTCAGTTTAGGGAGGCGAGGAATGAGAATGAGGGCAAGGTATCTATCTAGGTATTGCAAAAATTGTACCTCACAAAACAAAAACACAATCAAGCCGACTTCCCACTTTTACCTAAAATTGATGAATGATGGTAGAGGCCATTATTAGCATTATTAGGGGGGGGGGGGGGGGGGGGGGGGGGGGGGCGCTAAGCTTTCACAAATAATTAGGAACTGGAGAGGCGAGATGAGTATTTTTAGTATTCATATTTGACGGTTAAATGATGGTTGTTCGGTTTGATGTTGTTGAGAACATGGCCATGTGACACTTTCTATGCCCAACTCTTGTGTCTAGTCTTTGTTTTAGCTTTGTTTCTCACACATGTTCAATCCAAACCAAAATGTGCATCAATGTGCTTAGAAATGATAATTCAGACCAATAATTATGATGCAGCCACAGAGGAATCCTCGGAGCCAATAGTTAGTCGCCGCTGCAACAGGTAGCAGTGATTGCAACGTCGTTTGATTTGCCATGGGAGATCCAAGTAATGACGCGAACTCTAAATTTGGAAAGTGACATAGAAGAAAAGGAGAAAGAATCTAAGCAGAGAAGTATATATTTGCTTTGATGACATGTTGAGAGAGAACGATTTGTATTTCATTGAACAAAATATAAAATTTACACCGTCCAAAATTGCATATAGAGCCACCAAAAATGATGAAATTACTCATCTCAAGAGGCCAACCATCAAATCCCCTTAACGAAGTTCAAAATTTTTAATCCACTCTTCAAAATTCCCAACAAAATGCCAAACTATAACTCAATTCTCAATCTTACAATTTGAATCAACTAAGAAAAGAAAAAGTAAATGAACAAACTCTTACATGATGAGAGAGACCATCCACATACCACAATAATGGAAGGAAAAAAAGGGCGGGAAAAGTGGAAAAAAGGGCGGGGAAGGATTTGGCTATAATAGGTGTGAGGGAAAAGTGGGTATTGAAGAGGGTTAATTTTTTTGCAAAATCATTAGAGAGTTGATATGCTAATTTAATTTTGATAATTTATTATTATTTTTATATAGAAGTATTAATTAAGACGTACATTTGATATTTTTTTAATTTGGACATATTTTTTTATTACTAATTAAAAAACAAAACACATGATTAAAAAGTAGAACACTAAAATTACATCATTAATAAAAAAAAAGATGTTTTAGAAGTTGACTAACCACGTCTACTTGGTTAGTTCCGCTCGGTTAGCATTTGCACTTCTCAATGCCACACATAGGGGTGGAATTGGTAGGTAAACGGTAAATTATTTACCGAATTTACCGGTTTCGGTATACCGACATTGGCAAAACCGTTTGTCGTTTACCGATACCGGTTTGTAACCGGTTTACCGATTACCGAATTACCGGTAAACGGTTACAAACCGGTTTACCGAATTACCGCAAGGGCGACGTAGGGGCGGGTTTTCGGTTCGGTTTACCGAACATTTACCGAAACCGAATTTCTGTTAGTGGGGAAGATGTTGTAATATTTTGATTTTTCTTAGTTTTTTTTCTTCATTTTAGTAATTAATAATTTATAACATTTTTTAGGCCTATACTTACTTACATTCATGTATCATTTGTAACTCTTATTTATAATATTTTTCTTCATGATGTATGTAATATTTGTGAATAATGAAGTATATGTTATATGTTAATGCCATAAGTTATAACTTAATATTTGAGTTCAAACACTAAGTTGCTATCTATTATTTATTAATCTATTTAATTTAACATAAGTTCAAAGGGTCAACAATCATGATTCATGAATCAACATCAACTCTCATCAAGCATCATCATTCATCAAATATTCAAATTCATCAAACGACAATTCGACAAACATCGTCAAATCAAATTCAAAGGGACAATGATAATGTCTAAATTCAACACAAGTTCAAAGTCCAAACTTAAAAAATTAAAATAGACAACCAAATAAGTTAATAACCAATAGCTCATGCTCCTCCTTCTCCGGTAGAACTTGTAGCACCACCAACATTTGCACAACCTTTCTTCTTCAAAGTCCTAAGAAGAGTATCATCGAGATCATCATCGGCATCTTGGTTCATGTCTTCGTCGGACTCGGTGGATTCTTCATCATCACCCTCCTCCTCCTCCTCCTCCTCCTCCTCCTCATCATCATCAACCCCAACAACAGATCCATGTGCTGAGCTTGGGATGTCACTTGAAGCTTCCACTCGAGATTGGAAAGTATTAGTAACTAGTGCAAATAAAATACACAAATGTTAGTATGTTACTAATGGAATGGTTTAAAATTTAAATAGTAAAGAGTATAGACAAATTAGAATAATAAATTGAATTCTTACCACTTTCATAATCGATTGTCTCTTGATCTTCTTCCTTATCATTCAGTTCATCTGCAGTCTTTCCATTTTCATATCTTATCCAATCTTCAGCACATATCAATGCCTCCACAATTTTTGGGCTTAAAGAGGACCTGAAAGGACTAAGAACTCGACCTCCACAACTGAAAGCGGACTCCGATGCAACAGAGGAGACTGGAACTGCTAATATATCCCTAACCATCTCTGAAAGAATGGGATATCTAACACTGTTCCGAGCCCACCACTTCAGAATTTTAAACTTCCGATCATCAATCTCCTCATTAATAGCATCACCAATATCTCTCAAATACTGCTCCAACTCACCAGAACCTCGACCACCCCTCTCAATTTGCTCCTTTCTCTTCTGCTGGAACCGAGCTTCAAATGCGGACTCCACAGAAAAAGATCCGTCACTAGTCTCAGTCGGAGTAGTAGTCTGGGTAGTAGGCACAGAAACAGAGGATGAAGTTGCATACTTCATCTTGTAGACATCGTACAATGCAATCATCTCCTTCTTTACTTCATCTGCCAAAGCTTCCCCTTTTGAGATCCCATACATTTCCTCCAACATCATAGTCAAATAGTCTAGCTTACGCCTGGGATCCAGCACACATGCCATGTAAACTATCCTATTTATCCTAAAGTTGTCCTCGTCAGCAACATCATTCTCAAACCAATACTTTCTCACCTTTGCCTCTATTCTCAATGTCATTCTTTGTATCTGACTATCTGTATCTTTCTTCAATTTTGCTATCACTTCATGAATATCCACAATGGCTTTGCAGAAAGTATGTGCAGTGACATATGATGTTCCTAATACAAAGAAAAATTTACCGACATTAGTATAAATAATATAACTCGACATCATTCAATTTAATTTTAAAATTTGAAAGTTATTAGTTCATATACCTGATACACGAAGAGTAAGCTCATAGAAGAACTTCAGGTACTTCATGAGCCGCCTAATACTGCTCCAATCATCTTCAGTTGGAAGACCCTTCTTTGAATCCACATACTCTCGAAAGGAAGAATCAGTAGGACTAGCATACATGAACGTAAAAACCTGCTCAAACCTCTCCACGGAATCCAACATCAGATAGGTGGAATTCCACCTAGTCGGAACATCCAAAGACAGCAGTCTTTTCCCATCCATCTCCAGATACTCAATGCCTTTCTTGAACTTTGCCATCCGAGCTGGGGATGACTTCACCCATTTCACGCAATCCCTTACCCTCTCCACAGCATCTCCAACCTCCTTCAATCCATCAGAAACAACCAGATTGATGATATGTGCCACACATCTATACTGCAAATACTTCCCTTCTAGCAAATCTGTTCCCCACCCCTTCATTCTCATGCACTGAACAAGAACATCATTCGAACTGGCATTATCCATTGCCATGCAAAACAAACTCTTCACTTTCCATTCTTGTAAACACTTCTCCAAAGTATCTGCAATATCCTTCCCCGTGTGACTAGTAATGGGAACAAAGCTAATAATCCTCTTCTGCAACTTCCAATCATCTCCAATAAAATGTGCAGTCACACACATAAAATTCTGGTTATTATCACTAGTCCATGTATCTGTAGTGATAGATATTCTTCCTTTGCACCTTGAGTTAAAAAACTCAATCAATATTTCTTTCTTCTCCAGAAAAATGACATAACAATCAGATCTTATTGTTTGTCTTCCTGGTATCACAAACAAAGGCTGAGTTGTTGCCATAAATCTCCTAAACCCCTCCCGCTCAACAAATCTAAACGGAAGCTCATCCAAGATTATCATCATAGTTAATGCATTTCTAGATTTGTTCTGATCAAACTTCCATGGAGTAAGAGAGCCTACCTCACCATCTCCACTTCCAGGTTGATAATTCAATACCGACTGACCACTATCTTCCTTCGCCTTCCTCTCGCACATTAGGTGATGACTCTTCAAACCACTAGTCCCATTGAAGGTTGAATGAGCTTTGATCATCCCTCCACACCGTTTGCATTTGCCGTATGGGTAGTCATCAACTAGCACACGGGTGTAAGGAATCCACCACTTAGATTTTGACTTCTTCCCCTTCCCCTTGTCAATTTTCTTCTGTACACCAGGTACCTCAACAGATGGTGGAGGATTTGCTGTAGATGGAGGAGGATTTGCCTCAGGAGGTGGATTTGCTGCAGCTGCAGGTGGATTTGTAGTAATGGAAGGTGTGCTACTAGTCGAAGCCTTCCCTTTTTTTGAAGAGCTTCGAGGAGGTAGAGAACTAGCTTTCTTCTTCTTACTACCTCCTCCACGGCTGCCAGCAGAAGCTTTCGTCCTACAAAAAACAACAAAATGAACACATAAAGTCATAAACCTCCTAAACAACAATTTCTTTTAGGTCAATCAAACTC